AAAAAAAAAAAAAAAAAGAAAAGAAAGAAAGAAATAGGGCTTGGAAGGAGTTTGGGAAGTGACTGTCCTTGGGAAGAATGCCTCCAACCCACAGATCCTACCGCTCTGGTCCTCTTAGGCCTTAATCAAGAAAGGCTTTAACTGACCCTGATCTAGTATTTCCTGTGGCTTTTGATCTATGATCATGTAATTAAACCCTTTGTGACATCTGTATGTCTGTCTGCCTTTCTTTCTTAACACTGCTCATAGTTTACTTCATATTTTCTTATCCACAAATCCATTTCAGTTTTGGAATACATTTCAAGCAAAGTAAGAGATCAGTAAGTGTGGACACTGTATACATCATCCCTAAAGGTCCAGTGGACAGGCCACTAGCAGGAGTTTCATGTTCGTATGTAGTTATCTCCACCTTCCTTGTTGTGTGTTTGTGGTGTGTGTGTACGTGTTTATGTGGATGTGTGCATGTATGCAAACAGGCACATGTGCACATTATATGCAAATTGTGCTATCTTTCTTGAGTAGACAAATAATGGGTTTCCTTTTGAGCGCCTGTTAAAGCTTAGTTTAAAGCTATTCTTTCTTTAATTGCATAGTATCTGTTAACTTCTACAACTTACCATTTAAATTTTCTATTTATAGAAAAATTTGTAATAGTGTATATTACTACTAAATGATAATGCCTATACTTGTACTTGTATTGAACTTTAAAAAACTTTCTCCACCAGAACCAGAAGAGCATGATGCCATAAAACATATTATTAGGCTAAGAGAAAAGCTTGAATGGAAAACTCCAGTACTTCCACGTAATTTGAAATATCTTCCTAAGGTCCTTCCGAAGCGCAGTCTAAAGGTGCAATTCTACCTTATGCAATTTTAACTATTAAAAATTAAAATTTGAAACTATCTTTTATTAATCTATTGTAACTATCACATCAAAGCTCACTGATGACACATTACAGTAATTGTTGGCAAATATAAAAGAATCAACATAATTTATTTCACCTACTTAAAGAATAAAGATAAAGCAGGACAGTTTTGTCTATAATACATCTCTTGTCTGTCCCCCCAACTCTTCCTCTTACCCATTGGGTTCACAGGAAAGTGCCCCATCTCCCTTAAATTGGAATCTACTTTTGGGTGTCTGTTACTTTGTGATTTTAAAAAAGAAATAAAAGGAACTTGTTTAAGAACTTACCAGAAATTCATGTTCTCATCTGCACACTAGGCCAACTGAATAAGAAACGGTGAAAGTGAGGCCAGTTGTTTGTTTTCTTGATAAACTGCTACGTGATTAAGAACCACTGCTCCAAACCCTGGGTTAGGTTTTTTCCTTTAAAGGGCCATATAACAAGTATTTTAGTCTTCATAGGTCATGTGAGCTCTGCTGCAAGGAAGCACTCATTCTGTCACTGTGCACAAGACTGTTGGTATACAGTACACAACAAATGGATATGTCTGTATGTCAATAAAACTTTATTTATAAAAACAGATACCTGACCCCGGCATAGTTTGCCAATCCCCGCTCTAGATGGTTACTCTAAGGACAAAAGGTCTTTTGATCGTTGTTCATAGTCAACATAAGGTGACTAGAAGTTCATTCATAAATTAGATTCATGTAGTTTTGTTTGTTTCGGTTTTTGTTTTTTGAGACAGGGTTTCTCTGTGTAGTTTTGGTGCCTGTCCTGGATCTCGCTCTGTAGCCTAGGCTGACCTCGAACTCACAGAGATCCGTCTGCCTCTGCCTCCTGAGTGCGGGATTAAAGGTGTGCGCCACCACTTCCTGGCTTGTAGTTTTGAATCTCTGTCTTGAGCAATCTATTTTGTCTTGAGCGAGTTTCTACCCTCTCTGAGCTTTATAGTTTCTTTGACCCTGAAACTGAGATAATGGGAATTATTCTAGAGAGCTGTGAAGATTAAATGGAAAAAGAATGTGCTGTAGTATCAGGTAGATTGTGGACATAGCGTGTTTGAAAGTGCAAAACAAAACTCTAGCTGTGCATAGGTGCTTTGGATCTTTGAGTAAATTATACTTAATTTGTATGCAAAAAAGACTTGATAATTCTATCTACACCAAGTTTCTAATAACCTTAGAAAACAGAATTAAAACAAAAATGGTTTAATTGGTCAAAAAGCTACAATAAAGCTAATCGTTTGGCTAGACACTAGGCTATCTCATTTCCTCTTTTTTTTTTTTTTTTTTTTGGTTTTTCAAGACAGGGTTTCTCTGTGTTGTTTTGGTTCTTGTCCTGGATCTCGCTCTGTATACCAGGCTGGCCTCAAACTCACAGAGATTCTCCTGGCTCTGCCTCCTGAGTGCTGGGATTAAAGATGTACGCCACTACCACTCAGCCTCATTTTCTCTGATTTTCAGGATTTAAGTTTATTTTTGAAGGTTTCTTAATACAAGTTATAATCGGAGCCAAAATAAGAAAGCAAATAGCTACCACAATGGAAACACTTTTCAAAAAAGAAAATAATGTAAAAACTGTAAAACTGAATCCAAAGTCTAAAACCACAGTAATTGGAAATAGTTTCGGTGTACTTGATTCAGTAGTTTTTGAGAGTATCACCAAATTACTAAATTACACTTTTAATAAAATGACTGAAATTATTAAATTCAATTTTCATATGATTTAAAAAATTTTATTGATAAAAGTGCACATTTCAAAGCTAAAAGAAAATAGCTTTAGAATTTACACTTTACATTTTCTCAGTGGACGCTAGCCAATTTCTCACTACTTCCAAGTAAATGAGACAGGAACTTTAGCACTTACTCTAGAAGCTTCGGGTGTGAGTTTAAAGTCACACTTGGATTCCAGTTCCTACTTTGTTATTTCGTGAGTCTATGACCTTTCTCAAGTTAGAGGATCCACAAAAATATTAATTCCTACATGTGCTTAATTCTTGGTCTCTTTAAAGTTGTCAGAGGCATCATCGTCCAGATAACATGTGTAAAGGGCTCACTGCTTATTGTGTGTGACCTACTTAGAATGCTGCCACAGCTATTAGAATATGGACCCCCATACATTAGGTGCAAATAATAAGCTTGGTATCCAGAATGGAATATGGCACACTTGTTAACGGTCTATCATAGAGTTCATAGCAAGTACATGGATGAATATTTCCAAACATCTTATCACTGTATTATGTTTAAGGATGAAAATAAAATGTCTTAACCCTTTCATAAAATTAGTCTAATTGAACTTGAATTAGGCATGGTTTGAGGTTAATTTTCCTCACTGATACTATCCTATTTTGACTGTCTTAACATTGTTTCCACTGGGTCTGTTTAGTCATTTAATTAATTACTTTAGTCAAAGTTTCTTCTTCTTCTGAGGAACCTTTGAAAGATGATGGTGAATTCATATACTGCCTTCCTCTGGAGAACACCAAAGGCATCTTCAATGAGTATGACCTTCAAGCAGTCTCCGCCTACAAAGCTAAAAACTGCAAAGTATTTTGGATGATTACTGCTTCATTTGTCTCAAAGGTACCGTAAAATATATATGTTCAGCTTTATGAATTACCTCAGAAAATATTACCAATTCAGGCCAATGCACTACACACACTTGTAATCCCAGTAGTGGGGAGACAGAGGCAGGAAGATTGTAACCTGAAGTACGCATAATGAGACCCTACCAAAAAAGCAAGAAGAGAGGAAAATAAAAGGAACCAATTTAGGACTTATTTTTAATGTAGCAATTGTTTTACTTATTTATAATTAAAACGTAATTCTATCATTTCCCCCTTTCGCCCCTCCAACCCTTCCCATGTTCCATCCCTTCAACTCCCCCATGTTTTCCCTTACTTCCCTCTCAAATCCATTGCCCTTTTTTCTTTATTATCCTTTAACTCTCCCTCACTCAGCGGTTGTTCAGTGCCTAGAGGTCGGGCCTGACATATATCCCCATTCCATGTTGGTGGTGTCCTCTTTGAGGCAGCCTATTTTTGCAGAATCATGGCTGCAGCTTCCCTGTGGTTTTTAGGACCCATACTCTCTCAGCAGATTCCTGCTCTTCTGACTCTCGCAGTCTTTCCAGCCCCTCTTCCGCGATGTCCCTGAGCCTTAGGTTAGTCGTGCTGTTGATGTACCTATCCATTGACTCGGGACACCCCACGATCAGTTGGTCTCTGCATTTTGACCGGTTGTGGTTTTCTGTAATGGTCTCTGTTTGTGGCAAAGAGAAGCTTCCTTAATGCTGCATGAGAGCGACATTTGCCTGTGGATATAAGGACAAGCATTTAGAATGCAGGTGGGAATTGTGCCGAGCTAATCAAGTCCCTCTAGTAGCTTCTCTTCTAAGATCCACCCCCTCACTAGCCCTAGATATGTGGCTGGGTTGCCGGTACCAGGTGTATTTTCTCTCCTGTTGAATAGGCCTGAAGTCTAATTAGAGAGCTGTTGTCTGTCACCATGATATGAAGGCCACTGCTTCACCTTTAGGGACATCATGCCATGCTGGTCACTGTTGTGGTTCACAGGCACCACAGCTGAGGAAGACTGTTGATTGCTTGTCTCCTTGAACAGCTTGTATGGCCCCTTCTGGCACTGTGGGAGCTAGTCCTCAGGGAGGAGACCTGAAGGCTGGACGCAGCTTGAATCTTCTGAATCCTGTGTCTTCAGCAATAGGGACATATCACCAACCCTTGGGAGGACACCAAGGACAACTGTGGTAGCCTATGCTGTTTTGAGTCTCTTGGACTCCCCTGACCAACAATTCGAAAGGTGGTTTCTCCTGCCTAATGCTGGGTTTTTTTTAGATGGTCTGTGTCTCCTGGAGGGAGCATCATCAGCCCAAGTGACATAAAATCCATGTCTATATGTATGTATATACATACAGTTGTATGTCTTATATCTAATTTTAGGCACATATGAAACAATATGATTTATTTCTTTGTGCCTTGGAGAAACCAGTCAATTTAAGAAGTTAATATTTAAGAAACAGCTTATGGGGCTGGAGAGATGGTTTCAAAGGTTAAGAGCTTTGACTGTTCTTCTAGAGGACCCAAGTTCAATTCCCAGCACCCACATGGCAGCTCACACCTGTCTGTAACTCCAGTTACAGGGGACCTGACATCCATGGCAAAAACACAAATGCACATAAAAATAAAATATATTTTAAAAAAAAGAAACAGCTTGGGAGAAAATTATTTAATAATAAAATTTTTCTTCTTTTTTGTACATATTTAAGTTTAAGGATTAAGTTGGAAGGAGTTTTTCACCTCTTAAATGCTTCATTAATATTTTATGTAATTTTTAAAGTGAAAACTGGAAAATGGGCATTTGTTGGTGAAATAGGAATGATAAATAATATTTATTTTGAGTGTATGTATATGTGTGTGCTTGGGAGTTCTTCAGGAGCCAGCCACTTTGTCTTTCATGATAGGGGAGACAGGATCTCCCACTGGCCTGGAGCTCACCAAGTGAGTGGGCTGACTAGCCAGCAAGCCCCAGGGAGATCCACCTCTCTCCAGCTCTCCAGCGCTGGGATTGCAAGTCCACACCACCACATGCAGCTTTTTTATACGGGCTCTGGGGTTGAACTCAGGTCCTCATGCTCCTGTGACAGGTACTTTACCTATGGAGCAATTGTTCCAGCTCAGTGAAGAATACTTTTCTTGGTGTATTTGTCAGAAACTTCAGGACCAGACATAGAAATCCTTCCATTATATACCTAGCATGGGATACCACAAGCTATAATTAATCCATTTTGATCATTTGTTTAATAACCATCTGGTTTTTTTTTCTGCTCTCCCAACAATCCAACTAAAATCAACTCAACAGTATGCTCCTGCAGGACCCCCCACCCAGGACTTCCTGTGTGCGAGGCAGGCATCCTAGAGATGAGTCCTATCCTCAGCCATATCATAACAATTTACACAAAATATGAAGAGTGCGGGACAGAAAACTTGTCAAGTTATTTGTAAAAACATCTCTGGATAGAGAGGAAGACTTTCCTATTCATTCTGCAGAGCACAAGAGAGCGGGCAGGAGAAAATGCCAAGTGTGCAGCCGTGTGCAGAGGGCATTCAGATTCAGGGACAGACGGAGCGGGAGAAGAGTGGAGGGTGCAGGGTGAATACAGGCCTTCTCAGCACCTTGAAAACAGAAGTCAAGTCACAGTTTGTGCTTTGTAATTGCAGATCACTAAAACAGGCACCAACATGGAAGAAGTGGAACTCATCCCTACTCTGGACTGGCTTTCGGAGAGACATCGCTTCTACTTACTGCTACAGTTTAAGATATTTTACAACTTCCGGTGAGATGGACGCAAAGGAAATCAACACTTGGTAGTTTGATGGTGTTGTAAGATTGCCCCGTGGCATCTGATTCCACTAGAGTGATGCTGCTCCCGGGGCACTAAGGAGGATGGGCTGATCCACAGTGTGTTTTAGACTAAGGAACTTGAACCATTTAAGGACTTTTTTTTTTTAATTTTAGTCTTTTCTGGATAAATGTTATAAAAACTGATGCTTTATTGTCAAACATGATTGAATATTCTCTATTGATTTACTTTTTCCTCATGCCTTTCATATTAATGAATACCTACCTATTGAGCATCCAAGAAGGGCCAAGAATTATTCTAGATGCTGGGTAACTGTATTAAACAAATCAATTATTTAACAAAAATTAGCCTGCTCTTTAAATTTCTGATTTAAAGTGTGTGAGAAACAATAAACAAACACATGAACATGTAGGATGCCAGGGGACAGAAAACATTATGAAGGAAAATAGAGAAGAGGAAAGGCCCTGGGGCAGGCGACTGAATCAAATGCGTTCTTGAAGTTTTTACCTAGCTGTAAGATACTTTACATTCATCTCACTGCAATAGGAGTTACACTGTTGCTTTTTTTAATTATTATTTTAAATAGATTCATTTATTTTATATCCCAGGAGGAGTTTCCCCTCCTTCCTCTCCTCCCAGTCCCTCCCCCTCTTCCCCCCACATCTACTCCTCCTCCATTTCTGTTCAGAAAAGAGCAGGCCTCCCATGGACATCAATACAACATGGCATATCAAGTTGCAGTAAGACTAAGAACCTCCCCTGTATTAAGGCTGGGTAAGGCAACCCAGTATGAGAAGTAGGATCCCACAAGGCAGTAAAAGAGTCGGAAGCAGCCCCTGCTCCCACTGTTAGGAGTCCCACAAGAGGACCAAGCCACACAACTGTAACATATATGCAGAGTGTCTAGGTCAGGTCCATGCAGGCTCCCTGGTTGTCGGTTCAGTCTCTGTGAGCACCTATGAGCCCAGGTTGGTTGATTCTATGGGTTTTCTTGTGGAGTCCTTGACCCCTCTGGCTCCTAAAACTTTGCTACAATCCACAGACCCAGAGAAACTAGGTAACAAGGAGGGTTCATGAGGGGATGATGTCCAGATTTCCCTGGGAAGGGAAATAGAAGAGATTCTATGAGTGAACTGAGGGCGGGTGGGGATGGGAACAGGAGGGATTGAGTTGGGAGGGAGGAAAATGGAGGGGAGAGTCCTGAAAGAGACTATTGGAAAGGGGGGACATTTTTGAGTGAAGTAAAAACCTGGCACAAGGAATCTCGCGGGAATCTACAAGAATGACCCCAGCTAAGACTCCTAGCATAGCAGATACGTAGCCTGAACTGGTCATCTCCTGTGACCAGATTGGTGCCTAACCCAATTGTCATCAGAGAGGCTTCATCCAGCAACTGATGGAGGCAGATGCAGACCCACAGCCAAACGTTAGGCAGAGCTCGTGGAATCCTGCAGAAGAGGGGAAAGTGTTGTAGAGCCAGGGCGGTCCAGGACACTGCTGCTCTTTGAATGTTTGTGTGACACCCAGTGTATAATCTTTTTTTCTTAATATCTGCTTTTCCTTGTTGCCTGCTGTTTTTTTGTCAAAGACAAAGAAAATATGTAAATTACACATTTTTACATAAGCGTATACGTATGTAATATGTTAAATGCATAAATTAAACATATTTAAATATATGCATCAAACCTAGCACCTCACACATGCTAGGCATATGCTCTTACACAGAGCTCTGTCCCAACCCGAGTTGAATAACACTTCAAACTGTGAAATGTTGTGTGATCAATGGCTTTACTAAGGGCCTGGGGGCTTTTAGACAAGTGTACAAGACTTGGTCGGGAGATGTTGCTCGCTTATTGAGCAACCTTTGCTTCCTACTCTTTACTTGGTATGAACCCAGAAGCAGCACCATGAAAAGATACGCATGTGTCTAATCCACAGAAGTTACATATGAGTGGGGTGAGTAATGGCGAGGGAAAGAGAGCAAGATGATTTCAGACAGCAGGATGAGACAACAGGGCTGATTGAAGGAGGGCTGGCCATGTGGCACTGAGCTGGTCCCTCAGGGACATAAAATGGAGAAGTTGAGGAAACTTGCACCCAGGTATCAGATCTGTTTCACATATCAGAATTATAGATGATGAATAATCACCGGGTAGACTTCCCAGGTCTTCCTTGTATAGTTTTTTTTTTTTTTTGAGATTTTTTTTAAGTTACACATGCATCTGTTTTTCATAACTGTTTTCCTATTTGAGTTAGCACTACACAAAGTTTTTTTAATCAATTTTATTGAAAATTTAATTTTGACTTTTATATTTATTTTATATATTTTAGTTATAATATAATTATGTAGTAGAATATTATTTTAAGGTGTGTTACTTTTATGTTGCATTTGTTTAACTCTGTGAAGCTGTGTTACTGTACCTGTCTAGAACACCTGATGGTCTAATAAAGAACTGAACGGCCAATAGCAAGGCAGGAGAAAGGGTAGGCGGGGCTGGCAGGCAGAGAGTAAATATAGAAGGAGAAATCTGGAAGGAGAGGGAGAGCTAGGAGCGAGAGAGAAGGAGGAGGATCCAGGGGCCAGCCATGCAGCTACACAGCAAGCCACAGAGTAAGAAACAAAGAAAGGTATACAGGAATACAAAAGCCCAGAGGCAAAAGATAGATAGACTAAGTTAAGCAAAGCTGGCAAGAAACAAGCCAAGCTAAGGCCGGGCATTCATAAGTATAATAAGCTTCTGTGTGTGATTTATTTGGGAGCTGGGTGGCGGGCCCCCCACAGAGAGTCAAAGACCAATAACAACATAATTATATCCCTTCCCCTTCTCTCTCCGCATCACCTCCCAAGTCCCCTTCCTACAACTCCTTCCACATCCTCCTTCTCAAATTGAGCCTCCTCTTCCCTGGCTATGATTGTTACATTATATTGTGCAAGTGCACTTTTGCTGCTTGTGTGCATGTGGTTCAAGGGTAGCCACTTAGTATCAGAGACCCAGTTAGGGGGCTCATCCTTGAGAGGCCAATCTCCATCTCTCAGCAGTCATCAGGTGCCCGGTGGCTCCTTGCCCAGGGGAGTGACCCTGTGAGCATTCTTCTGGATCACCGTGTTTACCAGAATTGCCATTGTTCAAATCTTGCTTATGCAGCCGTTTCCACGGGAAACTGTTTCACAACAGACTTCTAGTATTCCGGCTTTTATAATCTTTCCATCTCCTCGTCCATGACGTTCCCGGGGCCATAGCTGCAGCTAGATGTGTGATGTGAATGTATCCACTGGAGAAAGGCTCCCCACCCTCTGTTGATCTCAGTATTGTGTCCGGTTGTAGTTTTCTGTGATGGTCTCCATTTGCTGCAAAGAAGCCTTTTTGATGAGGAATGAAAACTTCCCTTATCCATGGAAAAGATTTAGAATGCAGCCAGGAATGAATGCTGGTCTAGCAAAGTGACAGCAGCAGAGTCCCTTCTAAGCTCCATGACCTCACTAGCCTCTGGAAGATGGCCAGACTCTAGCACCAGGCATGATTTCCTTCCTGTTGCATGGGCTCTAAGTCCACTGAGAGAGCTGTTGGTTACCACCAACATATGAGGGCCACTTCTACAGATACCTTGCCATGCTGGCCGTTGGTGTGGTTCAGGGGTGTCACAGTTGGCTGGGACTGTTCGTCGATTTTCTCCTGTGGCAGCTCTCCTAGTATTTTCCGGTACTATGGACACTAGACTGTAGGAAGAAGACTTTCAGGTTAGATCCAGCTAGAATAACCAGAGTCCTGTGTCCTAAGTGGGTGGTGTCTTCAGCAGCGGGGCTTTTCTTCACCTCAGAGAGGCAACCAAAAGCGGCAGCCACAGTCCATATTGATTTGGGAATCAGTCTACCCTGAACATTCTAAAGGAGATTTCTTGTGGTTGTTGGTTTGGGGGATTTTGGTAATCTATGGTTCTTGTGGGAAGCATTGCCAGCCATGGTGACATAACCTCCTTTAGTGTGTGTGTGTGTGTGTGTGTGTGTGTGTGTGTGTGTGTGTGTGTGTGTGTGTACACATAGATGTATTGTTATGATTTTAGGTAAATGTAAAATAACAAGATTCCTTGAGGCTTTGTCAAACAACTTAGTGTGATTTCTCCTTCCTTCCTCTCCCTTCCCTGATTGGATCCCCCTCTCCATTTTTTCCATTTCTGTTACATATTGCAAGCTAATTAATGTATAAAATATATTTCATAGTTTTTAATATTTATTGGGATGTTGCAGCCAACATGAATTCTGTATCTATAAAAAATCTAATGGCTTTCACTTACATTTGCTGTTTGCGTTATATTTTGTTGATGGTTTTGGAGAAAATTTGTATGGCTTAGCACTTTATTTTGATCGTGCAAGACAAAACATAGTCTAAGGAATTTTCTAACATTGCTTAGCTCTAAATAAACATGTTCCATATAACTAACTATATGAGTTGTATATATAGAATATAAGAGGTATTTTTTTTCTTTTCAGGATGAATAAAGCCTTTGTTACTTGGAAACTGAATGTTAAAAGAATTAAGACAGAGAAGAGCAGGTAAACCTTAATATACAATCATACCGATTCCAAAAGCAAAATGAGTTCAAAATGTAGTATGAAAGAGATACACTTGAATTTTAATTCAGATTGGGAAGTTACATTATGCTGATGTTTTAAATGCATTTAGCATCTACTTCTCTTCTCTTCTCTTCTCTTTTCTTCTTCTTCTTCTTCTTCTTCTTCTTCTTCTTCTTCTTCTTCTTCTTCTTTCTCTCTCTCTCTCTCTCTCTCTCTCTCTCTCT